ATATAGAAATATCTTAGGCTTTAGGAGAATTATGATAAATCTAATGTTGCCTAGTGAACCAAAGAGGAGATATTATAACAAACTGTCTCCTTAGGAATATTTGTTTAAATAAAGGCAACAATACTTCATCCTTATCTTTTTTGGATAATTATCACTATTTCAGGCTGTTCTTTGTTCCAAATACCTTTATTTTTTTTTTAAGTAATTGGCAGTGTTTGTTTCCTATAAAACTATAAGAAGAGGAAAATTCTGTTTGCTTGGCACTAACAAGATAATTATTTTAGGGAGAGTTTTCCTCTCCAGCTCTAGTTCACTCATGCCATGGCATCTCTGCACTTGGACGCATTTGGGTTATCTCATTTCAGTTACAGCGTATTAAACTAACTCCTCTTCCATGGCTGAGGTTTGCCCACCTGTCTCCCCTAAAACACCTGCAACATATGTTTGCATAACCCTGTAATGCTTTGCCTTTGGGGTCCTAAGAAATTCCCCCAGAGCTTTTTGCTTATAAACAGCTGAGCAATTCGTTTTTCTAATGACGGTTGCTTTTCCCCCAGCTTAGAGGCAATAACATATTTACTAAAATAAGGGCCTCATTTTTCATCAAAGAGAAATATTCAACATATTTTTACAGTGCTGTTTCTCCTTTTTGAGCATTATTATTTCCCCTTTCTCATCTGGCATGCTATAAAAGTTAAGAACTGATAGCAAGATATTAGGGGAAAGAAAACTAAGTAATTTATTTGTCAGATATTTTCTTCGTGCTAAACACATTATACTGCAACTAAAAATAGTCTTTTAAGTACTCAAAGAACTTTGTCAGTTTAATTCAAAGTAAAATTAATGTCCAATAAATTATAAAATGATAATTTGGGCATATTTCAGGAAATCACTGATTATTATAATCTCATAAGCTGGCAAATATTGCATTATTAGCATGGTATGATTGTATATATTTTTAAAAATTTGTAAATGTATGTGCTCCTAATTCAGAGAAATATGACAGCCTTTCTCCCCATATATGAGATCCAGTGTGCGTGATATGTTTTCCTAAGTGTGTGTTTTTGTTTTGAAAATATAGATATAATATTTGGCAAATTTACAGTTACCAGAAGTGTAAAACATCACTTTCTCTACCCTTTTTGTGTCCTGGATTTTAGGTTGTCAAATTTAAATCTGCTCTCAAGTCAAGGTCTGTTTGTCAGTGCTCACTGATATCAGTATGATTATAGCTTCTTTTTCATGTGGTTTTATCAAGTGCCTGGCACTGTGCTGTGCTCTTCGTTCTTATTCTGTCATTTAATCCTTGCAGATGATAAAACTAGATCTAAGAGTGTAATTAACTCCTCACAGTCACTCAGCTGATAATAGGTGGAGCAGGAGTCTCCTGATCCTTTGCACCAGGCACCCTGTCCCTCTAGAGCAGATGAGCATTGTTATGTCTACATTAGTGCTGTTGTTTTCAATATATAACATTCATATGACATCATCTCCTACTAGTCCATTAATACATGAAGATCACTATCATTGGAATTGCTTTTCCTCTCCTCTTTTTAGTTCCACATGTTTGCATAAATAGCCAAGTCTTTGAACAGTCCTGTGCTGTTCAAAGAAGGATGAGTATTTCAGAGTCCTTTCCTCTGTGTGTTGATTTAAATGGAGATTATCTTCAAATGAGATACAGGAGTCGGGAGCTCAAGCTAGGAAGAACTGTTTGTAATGACCTTTTGGGTAAGTTTGATTTCACCAGTCTCAGAACAAGGAATATTGTTATGGACAATCTTGTAGTTAATTGTACTTCTTACAGCATCCTGTAGTTAGTTATTCTTAGTATGAATTAACACTTGAATATTTTACAATACTATAACAAAGTGAGTTTGAACTTAAAATATTGAAATGTTGTTGCCCACAGGACTTTAAGATGCCTCTCCAAGATCCAGCCTGTTTATGCCAGGAGTGGGATTTTGCAGCATTCTTCTTTTATTGTCATAAAATAAAATGCTGGAGAGAAGCCATGATCAATGGCTAACTTCCATTCTCTCAGATACTCAGGTGGCTGAGGCAGGAAGAACACAAGTTCCAAGCCAGCCTCAGCAACTTAGTCAGGCCCTTTCTCAAAAACAATATTTTTAAAAAGGGCTGAAGATTTAACTCAGTGGTAGAGTGTTTGCTCAGCATGTTTGAAGGTCTAGGTTCAATCCCCAGTACCACAAATACTACTAAAAAAAATAAAATACCAAAGAGAAAGCTTATAACTTGTAACAACTTTAATGGAAAAGAGTTGAATGATTATTTGGGAAGTTACTAGATGAAGTCTATGTAGAAGACCTGTCTCAAGCCTATCATGTTTGGTCTAGGAAAGACACAGTAACCTTCAGTGGGGTCTGAAGTTATGATTTTTGCAATTGTATGTATGATAGTATAGACTTCCCATGTCGTATCATATAATTGCTATTCTTCTTAGACCAATACAAACCCAGTAAGCTAACCATTACCATTTTGTCATCTTTCTTCCAAAGGAAAATGTACCAAAACAAAAACATTCTTTAAAAACATGCATTGGGAAAAAAAAAAAAGTACATTAGTTTAGAAGTGCTTATTTTGGTCAGAAATTCTGATTATGTGGAAATGGGTTTACAAACACATGATATTAAAGATATGTGAATGTGTTCTGCACAATGAGAAATTACTACACCTGTGGGATCTAGTCTTCCTAACTTATACAATTTTTTGTATGTAGAACTCTAGTGACTCATATATTTTAGAGGAAATTTTCAGATATTTAAAAATTAGAAAGAAGAAACCTTAAATGTCTATAAAATGATAAAGTTTATTATATAATTAATACTGCTTTCATTTTCATCTGTTCCCTTTTTCTTTTTTTAGTGTGGTTGCTAAAAAAATTTAAATTACAGATGAAGTTTGCATTTTTAACATACATAATATTTCTGTTAAATAGTACTTGTCTAGATTATATGTATTTTTATGTCTTAGATATAACATTTTCTTCATATTTCATATGCTGTTTTCAGCATCATCTTTTGATTCTTTTTGTTGTTGTTTCCAGGACAGTGGTGCTTTACCTCTCTCCCTTTGCTACCAGTAGTCTCCTAGGAATTTAAATAGGTCTCAGTGAAAGTAATACTTGAGTAATACATATGTTCAAGTTAAATCATTTTTCCTAATAATGGCTTTAAGTGCTTAGGTGGATCAGCACATCCTGTCTTGAATTGCATGTTATTTCTTCATAAAGATGTTTTCAAAAGAACTACTCCATGAGATCCCTTCTTTCATTATTTTCTTGCAAAAAGTAGCATAATTCTTTACTAGTTTGTTGGACATTAGAGAACAAAAGCTTTTGAGATTAGTAAAAATAAAATGTGTTTCTAGGTACTGAGAATAAAGAGCAGAATTAGTCATGAGTGATAGTCCTCATAAGTTAATTTTTAAAATAAATCATGAATGCACTGTCAGTCTGCCAGGAGCTTTAACCTCTGTTTTATTTTCACATTATACTTGGGTCCAGGTTGTCATCAGCTACCATGAGGAAACCTATGAAATTCTTAGAGAGAAGTTGCACTGTTAGACTTAATAGTATGGTAGTCATGGAAGCATCAGTTATCTTCATCAAGGCAATTCAGATTTGATTATCATAGAACTGTGTTGAATACAAAACCAGTGGAGTAGTAGCTGGAGCTAAATCAAGGGATTGTCGTTTTTGTCAGATGATTAGGGCTGGCATGGAAGAGATATGAAAGGGTTGAGCTGTGTAAATATTCTCTTTTCAGCAGAAAAAGAAAAGGTCCATCATGGCCATTAAGATGCAGCTTGTTAGCTTGATGAATTTCAAACTATTTAACCTTAACAATTACATCCCCCTCTTTTCCCCATGCTACATACAAGCATATCAGTGCTTTGGGATTATGTCTCCAAGGATTAATATCTAAGAATATCAGTAATTTCAATGAATATAAAATACAGCCTTTCTGTGTCTAGATAGATCTCTCAAAGACAGATTATGTTGTGGGTTCAAATACCCAATTACTACTTGAATTATATATTCAGGTAAACATTAGAACACTTTTTTCTAAGTTTTTTAAAAAATTTAAGGAAACTGATTTTATATTTTAGAGATGATAGTATTTGTTTAAATTATGCTGTAAATATGTTGTTTTTGTAAAGTAGACATATTTAATTTTTATTTACCTGTAAGGGGCTTGGTACATTTAAATAATTAACACAACTAAGCAATAGCAACACATTTAAATAGGCACACCCAACCTAATGATTCAAGGACATTTCTATGGTGTTATAAATAATATTAAGTGCCAGACAGGGCACTGTTCTTGCTGCTTTTAAAATGTGCATTGGTCAATTTGCATCAGTCATTTTATTTTTGTCTTTTTATTATTTCCAGTACCTGGCATACTTTAGGCACTTATTAAACTCAAAAATAAGAAGAGATGACATAGAAATTGCCATCTTTAAAAGAATCCTTGAGTTTTGAAATAACTTATTTATTCAGGATGAAGAAGGACTCAGTGTGCCATCTAGTGGACATACTTAGCATTCTGGCCAACAAAAGCTAATGATTTTTGCTCTTCTTCCACAATAAGCATTCTCAAGACTTTTAAACATAGTTTGTACTTGCGTTACTTCTCATACAGTTTCTCAGTTTTTAAATCATTTTATGTCATAATAAAATTCATATTTGAAAATGATCAAAATTATTGAAAATAAATGGAAGAAGTAAATCTATTTGAACTATAAGACAGGCAAAAATAAAAATATGTCAAAAAATGTCAGTTTTAATCAGGAATAAGAGGAGTTATGGAAGAAATTAAACAAAAGAAAACTCAAGCACACTAATTATTAAACTTCATAATTATATGTATTTTTCTTAAGGAATGTAAAAATGATCTTTTCTGTCCTTTTACATGTTAATGAATAATTTAAATAGCATTATACATTTTAATTTATTGCTTTTTTTTCCCTTTTAGAAAAATCCAAGACCAGTGACTTATCAGTTCCATCCCAATCTAGATTATTACAAAGCACGGGGAGCAGACCTTATGAACAAAAGCCGGTAAGTCTCTTTCCCCTGATGACAGCTAAAAATTACGAACATAATCTCAGACGTCATCAGGAAATTTTACACATTTGCAGAAATTTATTTTCCAGACTTTAGCATATCAGTGGTTAATGTGCATAATGATTCTTTGTTAAATAAATTATGTAAGCTTATTTCAGGCATAAGAAAATGGTGTTTTTATGACAGTAGTAAGATGAAAAATTAAATAAATATAAGAGTACTTTTTACAATTTGAAGTTAGGCAACTTCATTTTTTGCACACTAATAAACCTGAATAAATTATGCCTACTTGGTATAATCTCTTTCTAGATTCTTGCTGTTGATTGAAAAGAAGCTGTTGTATAATATATTTTTAAATTATTTCAGTAACAAAATTAAAATTGGGTTTCCCAACTGTCTTTAGAACTACCCAATAAGCTTATAAATGCATCTTGTGTGTGCATTTGTGATTGCATACATAGAAATTTTAAGGGTCACTGTAGGAATAAAAAAACATTAAAATCCTACTTTTTAAAGAAATTAACATTGGCATAAAGGGTTGATGAACAGTTTTGTTCTTTTATAATACTCTACTCAGATGTCTCAAGAGTTAACTTGTCAAACCAGAACCATTTCAAATTAGAAGGTAATTTTGAAGTTTACTCTGAATGACTAAAATGTTAGTAATGATAAATGCTGTCAAGTTGTCCGAATTTTCTTCCTTAAACATTTTGCCTATGTTTGCTAGCTTTTCTTCAGTAGACCAGCAGTCTAAGTTTACATTTATGGGGTGTGTATGCACAATGTGTTCTGTTATGTGGAGGGTTGAAATACCTGCCTCATAAGAACTCATAGTTCAAGGGCGAGACGTTTACAACAGAGTGGCTAAATATTATTATAACAATAAAAGCAGTGTAATTTTAATATAAAATTACCCAGCCTTGATTGAAATCTGTCCCATATTTTGACACACTTCACAACCCATGAGACTTCTCTGAAGCTCTCTTCTGTTTATTTCATTTAAGTCTTGTTTCACAAATAAAAAAAAACTGTTTCCTGTAGTAATTTGCTCATTTAATACAGCAAATTTTTATTGAGTGCCAGATTTTGATCATTTTAGGCATTGGAGATGTCTATAAACAAATCAGACACAAGTCCCTACCTTCAGGAATCTTACAGTCTGTTCACTTGTATTTTCCCTCCATTATGTCAAACATTTATCTTTCATATATTTAAAAGAAAATGTATTTTAGATTCTTTTCTTATGTGAGATCTTCCTGGCTGGAGTCCCTTCTTGCCCACTCTCTGCCAAATTAATTTGCACTGAACAAAGGAATCTCTGTTTACAGTAGATCATGTCACACTTCCAGGTGAACCCCTCCAAAGGTTTCCTATTGCCATTAATGATCCATTCTTCTTCAGGTGGCCCTTCCCAGTCTTCCTACATTATCTCCTAGTTTCCCTTTTCTTCCTTCCTGTGCCACGGTCTTATTGACCCTCTGTTTTTTTGCTCTTTTTAGGGACCTTTGCACTTAACTCTTGCCTCTTGCTAGAACTGTTCTTTCACCCCCATCTTCTCATGCCTCTTCCGAAGTAGAGCTATATCCAAATATCGTCTCAAAGAGGCCACTACTATCCTGACCTCCCTGCCTGTCTTCTCTCCTATTCACTATCCTATTGCCCAATTTTATTTTCTTCATAGCATTCATCACTAGCAGAAGTTACGTAATTCATTTGTGCTTCTAGCAGTGCCTACTAGAGGGAATACACTGAGCAAATACTTACTGGATGTATTTTTTTTTTTAATTTTAACATCTTTTTCTCCTAGAGGAAATGGACTATACCTTTCCTTTCCCTCACTTCTTGCTTTTATTTTCTTCTGTTTATCCTGCTCTCCCTGCATTTTTCTTTCACAAAATGTTGGTTCTTTTTTTATATATTTCCAAGTAAGCACATTTTCTCATTACCACATTATTTGTATAAAGTTCATTTGATGGTTGGGAGAAAGATTTTTCATCATATCTTTTGTAATTTTGAAGCTTAAAATTGAAATTGAGACAAATGAAATTAATTTGTGAAGTAGAAGACATCACAGATCAGTGAGCAAAAAAATAGAGTTAATAGATGGGAAAACTGGCAAATCTATCTACTGGTTGGGGAATAGTCCTAGGCCTAACTTTGGCCTAGCTATTACTCAGCATTTAAAGAGAATAAAATTATGGCATTTGCAGGTAAATGGATGGAGTTGGAGAGTATCATGCTAAGCAAAGTAAGCCAATCCCCCCCTCAAAAAAAGGGCCAAGTGGTTCTCTCTGATAAGTGGATGCTGATCCATTGGGGATGGGGAGGCAGGGAATGGATGAACTTTGGGCAAAGGGGAGGGAGAGGTGGGGCTTGGGGGGGCAGGAAAGATGGTGGAATGAGATGGACATTATTACCCTAGGTACATGTATGATTGCACATATGGTGTGACACTATTGTGTACAACTAGAGAAATGAAAAGTTGTGCTGAGGTTGTATACAATGAATCAAAATGCATTCTGCTATCATATATACCTAATTAAAACTAATTAATTTCTCAAAACTGGCTAATCTTTGAAAAGTTGTTGATTTTTACCAAAAACCAAAATAAATCCCAAAGTGCACTCAAGCCAACTTAGAAATAAAATACAAGTGCCTCAAAGGAGCTGAACAGGCATTTCATTGAAGAAAAAATAAAATTAGTCAACAAATATATGAAAAATGTACAACATCTTTAGCAGTTAGAGAAATTCGAATTAAAACTCTGCCGATATTTAATCTCATTCTAGTCAGAATGGCAGTTATCAAGAATACAAGTAACAATAAATGTTGTGGAGGATATAGGGAAAAGTTACACTCATACATTGCTGGTGAGACTGCAAATTGGTGCAACCACTCTGGAAAGCAGTATGGAGATTCCTCAAAAAACCTGAAATGGAGCCACCATTTGACCCAGTTATTCCACTCCTCAGCATATACCCAGAGGACTCAAAATCAGCATACTACAGTATCACAGCCACATCAATGTTTATAGCAACTCAATTCACTGTATCTAAGCTATGGAACCAACCTAGGTGCCCTTCAACAGATAATGGATAAAGAAAATGTATATATACACAGTAATATTACTCAGCCATAAAGAAGAATGAAATTATGGCATTTGCCAGTAAATGGATAGAACTGGAAACTATCATGCTAAGTGAAATAAGCCAATCCCAAAAAACCAAAGGCTGAATGTTTTGTTCTCACTGATATACAGATGGTAACATAAAATAAGAAGTGGGGTAAGAATAGAACTTTATTGGATTAGACAAAGGAGAATGAAGAGAATGGAGAGGATGGGAATAGGAAAGACAGTAGAATGAATTAGACATAACTTTTCTATTTTTGTATAAGAATACTTGACCAGTGTAACTCCACGTCATGTACAACCACAAGAATGGAAAGTTATATTCCATATATGTATAATGTGTCAAAATACACTATCAAGTATATCTAAAAAGAAAACAGTACTTTCACTGACAGTTACTTGGAGACTTTTTAACTTTAATAGTAATAAGGGAAATTATAAAGGAAATGACTGGGGGATTTTACTATACAACAAATATTTTTAAATAAATACATGAAAAATAATCTGAACCAGATGAAAAATGGAAAATATTTGTAGTGGTTGTAACTGACAAAGTATAAAATCATGAATATAAGAAAAATATACACAATTCAGTAACAAACACAAGATCCTGCATTAGTTTCCCTTCCATCTCATGCTGTGCTTTATTGGATCCTCCTTCTGTTCCTCTAAATAGGTAGAGGACCTCCTGCCCCAGGCCTCTTTTTCTCTCTACCTATACTCATTCCCTAGAGGACCTTACCCCAGTTCCTGACTTTATATTCTACTTGTGACTGAAGGCTCCTTAATTTATGTCTTCAGTTTAACCCTTCCCTTTCAACTCAAGACACACATAGCCCACTACTTGTTCCTCTTGGATGTCCCAAGCTTTTGAGCTCAGAATGATAATTTAACACTCAAATCTTGTTCTAGTTTTGTCCTTAAATAACCATAAATTGCTGCTATAAAAAATTACACTGAAATTGTGGCCAGTCTTCAGAAAGATCCATCTAATTTACTTAATACTTTATATTACTTTAATACTTTCTAGAGTGAACTCTTGATTTTACCCTCACACCCATAAACCTGTTATTCCCTCAGTGTTTCCTGTCACAGTAAATAGCACCACCCACTTGCCTTAGAATTGTCCTTGACTCCTTTTTCTCCAACATCACACATCAAATCCATCAGCAGATCTGCTTCATAATAAATCCTGAAAAATTATTTTTCTCTCTTTGCACTGTTACTCCAGAGTCATCATATCATTGCTCATCTCACTTCTAGTCTCCTTGCTAGTTTGCTGCTTCCTCTTATAGACCCTACAGCCAAATTGAGGTAAATGAGATTGTACCACTCCACTGCTCAGGGCCCTTTTATGACTTCCCAAAACACTGAGGAAAAAATCCAAAAAAAAGCCTTTATGAGGGCCTGCAAGACAGACCTTTGCTGCTCTAGCTTCCTGCTCTCTCTCCAACCTAATTTGCTACCACCACTCTCTTCAGTTGTTCTGGGCAAATGTGGCCTGGCATCAGAAGCTTTATACATGCTTTTCCATATCCAAGAATCCACATGGTGCAGTGGATTCCCTATTCAAATTCCATCTCTTCTGAAAGGCTCATTCTATTTTGCCTACAACACTAGACCCCTTCACTGTGTGTCCCTTGGTTTCACTTTGTTACTATTTGCATTTTTTGTTTTGCATAGAAATACTCATTTCTTAAATGGTTTTAAACTTTTTATTTATTTGCTGTTGGGAAATTTTTGTTTGTTTTTTGCACTAGATATAAACTCCATGTTTGTTGACTATACTGAGTATAGCAGACATTCAGTGAAAGAATTGCACTCAGCAAATGTTTAAAAGGTGGTTCAAACTCATAATTAGTCA